ATTTTCTATTATGCTGCGTTGTCCAGGGCTGTTCGCCCCTGGATGACTGGGTTCTGGAGATGCCATACTGCTCTGTCTTTTGTTGGTTGAGCTTTTATGCTGACCTCTACCCATTGGGCTTATTTAGGTGTTGGCTGTTAGTTTCTGTGCTTCCTGGAGTCCTGCGGTAGGGAGTATCCTCTTGGCCGGAAGATGATTTTTCCTGAAGGAGTCCTTCTCTGCTTTTTGGTTATGGTCACTGTATGGCCAGTGTTTCTCAGGAGTTGCCACTGCTCACCTCAGGTTTATAGCCCTGAGTAGTTGCTGTGGTCTATGTTAGGCAGGGGGGGGATCTCCTCTTACCCATAGAAGTTCTCAAGACATCTGCCTCACTGCTGGGTTTCTTGTTATAAATTTAGTGTACTGCTGCTCACTAAATTTCCAGGTACAGTCCTCTTGAAGAACCTGCTGATTCCCTAGCTGTGGGGTTTTCTTCCAACAGGGAAACTTAGTCTGTTATCCTGGGGCACACAGTTCTGTCTGGGGAAGTGAGAGGTGCACTCAGCAAGTCTCTGGGCCAGAGGCTGAATGCTCTGCTCTGGACCTGGAGAATGTGCACCTAGGTTGAGTTGGCACCTGGGGGCGCTGCTCTGTTCTGGAGGCTGGGTGCCTCACTCTGGACCAGAAGCTGTGTGTCCCTGTCTGGGATGGTAGCTGCAGGCACTGTTCTGGTCCAGATGCTGTGGGTGCAGCCCTCTTGAAGGACCAGAGATTCCCACACTTTTGACAATCTTTCTAGGGATAACTGGTTGATCCTTGGCACAGTATCTGAGCGCTGCTATAATGGCTCTCTGGCTTTTGTAGGTCTGAGGATGCAGCTGTGAGTTCCCAGTGCCCTAGGGGAACTCAATAAATGCGGCTGAGCATAGCGCTCCTGCCTGCATTAGAGCCTAGATTCTTTGTGAGTCTAGGAAGTGTTTTGGTGATGGGTGTCCTAAGCATTAGAGTTGATGGTCCCATCTGCTGGGGATTCCTCCTGCCAGAGACTCTCAGTCTTTGCTTTGGGTTCGCTGTTCTGTCTGGGGTGGCGAGTAGAACCCACAGGCACAGATGCCTGCTTGTGGCTCCGCCTTTCTGGCCGTTCAGAGCCTTGGCTGCTGCCTAAGCTGGGTAATTTTCCCTATTTCTTTTCGGGTTTGGGGTGTCGGCTGAGTGCTCTGAGATCAGACCAGCTGTTTCCCTCCTTGTGGGTTTGCACCTGCCAATGAAATGCAGTCTCTGGTGCTTGGTGCCCTGATACCCACAGTTCTATCTGAGGTGGCGAATCAGGTGCACAGGCAGGCAGGGCTCTGTTCAGGCGCCTGGGTCCTGGCTCTGGGTCCAGGCTGGCTCTCGGGGCACCCGCGGAACCCGAGTCTTTTCCAGGGGATGTCTGGGTAACCTGAGGTCGGTCTCAATCGTTTCCTGCTCCGTGGGTTTATCTCTCGCCTGGGAAATCCAGGCCCAAATGGTGTTGTGGGCCCACAGTTCAGTCTGGGACAGTGACCAGATCACACTGTGGTGTAGCACCTGGCTGGCGACCAAGCGCCTGGCGGAACCAGGATCTCTTCCTCGGTTTAGCCGGGTGAATTAAAGCTGATTGAATCCCCCACCTTTGGGTATCCTCTGACCTGGGAAACACAATCACTTGTGTTTTATGGCCGCGAGTTCTGATTGCTGGTCACTGTGCCACTCCTGCTGTGCTGCTCCTCAGAATGAGAGTCCTCCCAGCCCCGCCATCTTGCCCCGCCTCAATTTCTTTAAGAGTCTTGAAGTTTTTTTTTTTTAATAGGTCTTTCACTTGCTTGGTTAGAGTCATACCAAGGTATTTTATGTAATTTGTGGCTTTGTGAAGGGTGTAGTTTCCCTATTTTCTTTCTTGGCCCTTTATTTGGTATATAGGAGGGCTTCTGATTTTTTGAGTTAATTTTGTATCCAACCACTTTGCTAAAAGTGTTTCTCAGCTCTCAGAGTTCACTGGTAAAATTTTTGGGGTCACTCAGGTATACTATCATATCATCTGCAAATAGTGATACTTTGACTTCTTCCTTTCCAATTTGTATCCCCTTGATCACCTTTAGTTGTCTTATTGCTATAGCTAGGACTTCAAGTACAATGTTGAAGAGATATGGAAAGAGGTGGCAGCCTTGCCTTGTCCCTGATATAAGTGGGATTGATTTAAGTTTCTCTCCATTTAGTTTGATGTTGGCTCTAGGCTTGCTGTATATTGCCTTTTCTATGTTTAGGTATGTGCCTTGTATCCCTGATCTCTCCAAGACTTTAAACATGAATGGGTGTTGGATTCTGGCATCTAAGGAGATGATCATGTGGTTTTTCTCCTTCAGTTTGTTTATATGGTTGATTACATTGATGGATTTCCATATGTTGAACCACCCTTGCATGCCTGGGATGAAGCATACCTGTTCAGAGTGGATGATATCTTTTATATATTCTTTGATTTGGTTTGTGAGTATTTTGTTGTGTATTTTTGCATCAATGTTCATAAGTGAGGTATAGGTCTGAAGTTGTCTTTTTTGTGTCTTTGTGTGGTTTGGGTATCAAGGTGAGTGTGGCTTCATAGAAGAGTTTGGTAATTCTCCTTCTGTTTCTATTTTGTGGAATAGTTTGAAAAGAATTAGCTCTTCTCTGAAGGTCTGGTAGAATTCTGAGTTGAAACCTTCTGGCCCTGGGAGACTTTTGATGAGTGCTTCTATTTCCTTGGTAATATAGGACTATTCAATCTTTCTACCTGATCTTGATTCAGTTGTGGTAAGTGGAATCTAACAAGAAATTTGTTCATTTCTCATAGATATTCAAATTTTGTGGCATATTGGCTTTTGTAGAAAGACCTAATGATTGTTTGGATTTCCTCAGTGTCTGTTGTTATGTCTCCCTTTTCATTTCTGATTTTGCTGATTTGGACAGTTTCTCTCTGCCCTTTAGTTACATTGGCTAAGGGCTTGTTTATCTTGTTGATTTTTTCAACGAACCAGCTCTTGGTTTCATTGATTCTTTGAATTGTTTTGTTTGTTTCTAACTTATTGATTTCCACCCTGAGCTTGAATCTTTCCAGCCACCTAATCCTCTTGGGTGTGTCTGCCTCTTTTCTTTCTAGGGCGTTGGATATATGCTTATGAGTGGTATATCTGGATCTTGTTGAAGCACTATTCCAAATTGTCTGAGAAAACACCAGATTGATGTTCAAAGTTGTTGTACAAGTTTACATTCCCACCAGTAGTGGAGGAGGGTTCCCTTTTCTCCACAGCCTCTCCAGCATGTGTAGTCACTTGAGTTTTTGATCTTATCCATTCTGGTGGGTGCAAGGTGAATTCTCAAGGTTGTTTTCATTTGGATTTCCCTGATGACTAAGTACTTTGAGCATTTCTTTACTAGTTTCTCTGCCATTTGATATTCCTCTATTGAGGATTCTTTGTTTAGCTCTGTACCCCTTTTTTATTGGGTTTGCTCAATTTTTTGCTGTTTAACTACTTGAGTGCTTTATATATTCTGGATATTAGCTTTCTGTCAGATGTACGGTTGGTGAAGATCCTTTCACAGTCTTTGGCTGTTGTTTTGTTCTGATGACAGTGTCCTTTGCTTTATGGAAGATTTCCATTTTCATGAGGTCCAATTCATTGATTGTTGACCTTAAAGCCTGTGCTGTTGGTGTTCTGTTCAGCAAGTTGTCTCCTGTGCCAATGAGTTCAAGGCTTTTCCCCACTTTTTCTTCTAACAGGATTAGTGTTTTTGGTTTCATGCTGAGCACTTTAATCCACTTGGACTTTAATTTTGTGCAGGGTGATAACATTTTCCCAATGGAATACTACTCAGCAATTAAAAACAAGGAAATAATGAAATTTGTAGGCAAATTTTGGGAATTAGAAAAGGTCATCCTAAGTGAGGTATCCCAGAATTGGATATAAGTGGATATTAGACATATAATATAGGATAATCATACTAAAATGTGTTCACTTAAAGAAGCTAAGCAAGAAGGAGCACCCTGGGTAAGATGATCAATCCTCAGTCAGATAGGAAAGCTGTATAGACCTCAGGTCATGGGAAAACAGGGAACATACAGGAGCTTACCACAGAGGACTTCTGAAAGACTCTACCCAGCAGAGTATTAGAGCATATGCTGAGACTCACAGTCAACCTTTGGGCAGAGTACAGGAAATTTTACATAAGAGGGGGGAGAAAGAATGACCTTGAGGGGACAGGAGCTCCACAAGCAGAGCAACAGAACCAAAAAATCTGGGCCCAGAGTTCTTTCTTGTGACCAATACTTCAACCAAGGTCCTTTCATGGAGATAACCTAGAACCTCTGCTCAGATGTAGCCCATGGCAGCTCAGTGTCTAAGTGGGTTCCCTAGTATGGAGAAGAGTGGTTGTCTCTAACATGAACTCAGTTGCTGGTTCTTTGATCACCTCCCCTGAGCAGGGGTGGGGGCAGTATATCCTTGCTAGGCTACAGAGGATGACAATGCAGATAGTCCTGATAAGACCTGATAGATTAGAGTCAGATGGAAGGGGAGGAGGACCTCAGTTATCAGTGAACTGGGGAAAGGGCATAGGATGAGAAGAGGGAGGCAGGGCGGGATTGGGAGGGGATGAAGGAGGGAGTTACAGCTGGGATACAATTTGAATTAATTGTAATAAGTAAATAAGTGAAAAAATAGAGAAAAAGAAATTAAAAAAGAAAAAACTAAATAAAAAAATAAAAGCCAAAATTTACGGCACATTTAAAGTAGCAAGGGTTGGTGGCTTGAAATGTACGTTGCAATAAAGCAGTTAAAATCCAGACACATTACACTTACCAAATGTCACTTAGACTTAAGGTTGATCTGTCCTCTGAGAACCAGACGAAAGGATGAGGACACTGGTCATCACAGTCACCCACTTGAAACTTACAAACTCTCATGGGGTGATCAGGCTGGCACAGGTTGGGGATGATTTTGTCTCAGTTCCCCAAGCATCTGACATACAGTGTGAGCATTTGTGCCATATTCCCATGTTGAACAGTAATAACTGGCCTCATCCTCAGGCTGAAGGTCAGTCATAGTCAGGGAATACGTATTGCCAAAAGGTCGGGAATAGCCAATTGTCACAAATTTGGGGACATCCCCCGGTATTTCTTTGTGCCAGGATGCATCATATGCTCCAATATTTCCACCACTTCCAGTACAGACAAGAGTGACTTCTTGTCCAACAGAAGCAGACATGGTGGCTTCCTGACTCAGCCTTGACTGTGCTTTGGAGCCTGGAAAAGAGGAGTTGGAAACACAGTGAGGTAAGCATATTCTCAAAATAGTAAAAAGCTATGTTTCTAGTAACTCCTTAATCCATGCTGCTTTTTATAGCCAGTCTCCTGGGCAGAGTGTAAGTAACATGAGAATGAGGAGCATCCCGGCCATGGTGGGGTTTGCAGAGTACTGGTTCCTGATGATCTAAAGCTACAGCAAACACTATCCAATGTCTCTGTACCTGTGTGCCCTAAATAGGAATGAAGGACCTCACATGCAAATTATGCCCTCTTCTAGATGGTCACACCTTGTCTTTTTGAATCTTATTTTGGGTGAGGTAGGCAGAGCCTCCTGAGTTCACAGTTTTGTTCTGCACCCTGAACATTAGCTTTTCCCAGAGGAGTAAGTAAACTGCTGATTTCTAAAGGGACATGTATGCAGCTCCCCCTACTGGCTCAGGATAGGTCACCCAGGACTGTGTAACCACAGGGAACTCTGGAGAGAAGCAGGGACCCTGCCCTCTTCACAGCACAGAGGCCACCACCTACAAAGGATGTAGAGACATCTACCAGGTGAAGCCCTGATGTGCTGCCATTAGAAGTTTAACAAGGTGGCCGTTGTGAATTTGCTGGTCAGAATGGCAAAGGGCAGAGCACAGTGGCAGAGGAACTGGAAGAGTTTAAAAAGCCTAGCAGTTGTGGCTTTTTTCTGTCTCTGCCACCATGACAAGCAGGTGGTTATCTTCTAAGCCATCTCTATCTTCCTTCTGCATTAACCGTAAAACGGATACCCAATCACAGTAAAGGACAGAGGGTGGCGTGTCTAATGGGATATTCAGCCTTCCCTGAGCAAAGCCTGGTACCTTAAACCTGACATGGCAACAAAGGATTGATTACATGAGAGAACTGGGAACACATAAACAAATGAAATTGTGACGCTTGTGCACAGAAGTACCAAGTTGAAGTGACAGAAAGGACCCAGGCACATTGCACTTTGTGCTGTATGTGAACAACTCAGCTAAATCAAACTGAGTAGGAGAAATACTTAATATTTTACATCTCCCTCTAATTCAGTCTACACTACCAACTCCAAACATGAGACCTTGCCAGACCACCATTTCTTCTTCAACAGAGTTCCCTGATCTTCTGCTAAGTGAACTAAATTTAACTTAAGATTCACCACTTCAAGAAACAAGTCACTGACTTCAACTCTATCCACAATGTTATACAATCCCTTTCTTTCCTTTTTTTTTTTTTTACATTTTTCTTTCTTTTTTATTATTATCATTTATTACAGTTTATTCAATTTGTTTCCTGGCTGTGGCTCTTTAAATTCAGAGCACGAAAGCCTTGAAATGGCAGCTGTCTCCAGGACTTCCCCTGGGGAGAAAAGAGGCCCTGGGCTCAGTTAGCCCAGTCACGTACCTGTGGAGAGCTGCAGCAATTCCCTGAGAAGCAGTGGCCATTTGAAGATCCTACCCAACAAGCTGAAGAGGGCTCCTTCAGGAAATAGCAGCTTCCCTTCCCTGGGGATTTCCTGCACCATCCCTACCTGCAGGACTCCAGAAGGCACTAGAAACTACCAGTCAAAGCCTGAGATAGCCAGATACTAAACTCCAGCATAAAAGCACAATCAACAAAAGCCAAAAAAATATGGCATCTCCAGAACCCACTTATCCAAGGGAAAACAGCCATGGATAGCCTAAAACAAGTGAAACTTAAGAAAGTGACCTTAAATCTATGCTTATAAAATTGATAATGGAGGAAATAAGTAAAATTTGTAAAGAAATACAGGAAGATAGAGTAAAAAAAAATTGTGGCCATCTCTGAAGAAATACAAGAAGATACAGTCAAACAGATTGTGATCTTTAGAGAGGAAATAAATCACTGAAAGAAATCAAGGGAAATTCAAACAAACAGGTGAAGAAACTGAATGAAAGGCAGGGAAAGATAAACAAATAGGTGAAGGAAATCAACAAAATAGTTCAAGATCTGAAGATGGAAATGGAAACATTAAAAAAACCACACAAATTGAAGAAATCTTGGAGAGGGAGAACTTAAGGAAGAAAACAGTTTCTACATTGGTAAGCATCTGCAGCAGATTACAAGAGATGGAAGAAGAATCTCAGGTGTTGAAATACAATGCAAGAAATCAATGCATCAGTCAAAGAAAATGTTAAATCTAAAAAATTCCTGACCCACTTTGGGGGTGATCCAAGATGGAGCCAGGAGGACACTGTTTCTGACCAGCAGCACAGCAGGATCTGCACAGTGACCAGCAGACAGAACTCTCGGTCCTAAAACACAAGTGATTGTGTTTCCCAGGTGAGAAGATACCCCATTGTGTGGGATTCAATCATCTTCAACTCACCCATCTAAACCGTGAAAGAGGTCCTGGTTCTACCAGGCACTTGGTTGACAGCCCAGAGCCACATGCCGGCATGCTCTGATCACTGTCCCAGACTGAACCATGGGCCCCACAAAACCAGAGATGGGATTTCGAGTGGAGAGAAAACCTCACGGTGCAGGAAATGATCAGGACCAACCTTAGGTCACCCAAACAATCCCTGGAAAAGACCTGGGGTTCCATGGGTACCCAGCAGCCAGCCCAGAGCAGTGCAGTCAGGTGTCAGCACAGAGTCCTTCCTGCAGACCTGACTCAGTGCTTCAGATAGAGCTGTCCAGGGCACCAGAGACTGAGATTCTCTGTCAGGTGAAAACCCACAAGGAGGGGAACAGCAGGTCTGACCTCAGAGCACTCAGCCGACACCCCCAACCCCAAAAAATTCTCAGGAAAAATTACCCAGTTTCCGGCAGACGCTCAGATGCCCAATCGCCAGCAAGGTAAAGCCACATGCCTGTGCCTGCATGTTCTACTTGCCATCCCAGACAGAACTGCTGTCTCCAAAACACAGTCTGGGTGTCCCTGTCAGTAGTAAACCCCATAGTGCATGAGGGGGATCATCAGGTCCAACGCTCAGGACACCCAGCTCCAGAAGACTTTCTGGACTCATGCAGGCTTTAGGCTCTAGCCTTTTACTGCAGGAAGGAGTGCTGTGCTTACCTGCCATTGAATACCACTAGGGCACACAGCTGCATCCTAAGACCTACAAACAAAAGCCTGAGAGCCATTAGCCATTAGATCAGCTCTCAGATACTGCTCCAAGGTGTGACCAGTAATCTCTAGCTAAACTGACAAAACTGTTGGACTTCCTGGTTCTTCAAAAGCCAGAAGGGCCTAGACAGTTATCATGCAGACCTTAAGAGAACACAGATGTTAGCCCAACTCCTATACCCAGCAGACTTCTGGGTGGTACTATACTCTCAGACTTCATATGTGGAGAAAACAAGATATTCAATGACAAAAACAAATTTCAACAATACATACACACAAATACAGCATTACAGAAGATATTAGAAAGAAAATACAACCCAAAAAAAGTAACTACATTCAAGAAAACAAAGGAGAGAAAGATCAACCCGATGGAGGCGGGGCAAGATGGCAGCGCCGGGAGGACTCTCATTCTGAGCAGCAGCAGCAGGATCAGCACAGTGACCAGCAATCAGAACTCGTGGCGATAAAACACAGGCGATTCTGTTTCCCAGGTGAGAGGATACCCCATGGTGGGGGATTCAATCAGCTTTTAACTCATCCGGCTAAACTACAGAAGAGATCCCGGTTCCGCCAGCCGCTTGGCTGCTGGCCGCCAGCCCCAGCCCCAGCCCAGAGCCACAAGCCAGTGTCTCTGGTCACGGTCCCAGACTGGACCATGTGCACCACACTATCAGAGACTGGAACTTTCAGTCGAGAGATAACGCCACGGTACAGGAAATGATTGGGACCGACCTTAGGTCACCCAGACATCCCCTGGGAAATTCTCGGGTTCCACGGGCGCCCCATGAGCCAGCCCGGAGCCAGAGCCAGGGACCCAGGCTTCAGCACAGAGCCCTGCCTGCCTGCGCGCCTGATTGGCTGCCTGAGATAGAACTGTGGGTACCAGGGCACCAGCGAATGAATTTCACTGTCCGGTGCAAACACACAGGGAGGGAAACGGCTGGTCTGATCTCAGAGCACTCAGCCGACACCCCCACCCCGAAAAGGTCTTGGGAAAATTACCCAGTTTAGGGAGATACCCAGGCTCCCAAAGGCCGGAAAGGCGGAGACTGAGCCGCCATCACTCAGCTGTGCTCCAGACACAGGCAGTTTCTGCAGCCAGCCAGCTGGCAGAGACTGAGCAGTGCGCACCAGGGCAAAAAAAAAAAAAAAAAAAAAAAAGAGACTGTGTGTCCCTGTCTCCAGAGAATCCACAGGGAAGGAAGGAAACTGTACTGACTTAAATCACCCAGTCCTTCCCTGGAAAAAGTCTAGCAAAGACCGGCGGTGCCGTGCCGCCATCACTCAGCTGTGCTCCAGACACAGGCCCAAACAGTTCCTGCGCGCCAGATGTCCAACTGGGTCACAGCAGCTGATCATTAAATTTACAGCAAGAAACCCAGAAACAGGGCAGCTGTCCTCAGGACTTCCCTGGGTGAGAGGAGAACCCTCTCAACTAACAAAGACCACAGTTACCACTCAGGTCTCTATCCCTGAGGTGAGCAGCAGAAACTCCTGAAAAAACGCCAGCCATCCAGAGACTATACACAAAAAGCTGAGAAGACATTCTTCAGGAAAAACCAGCTTTCTGCAAAGAGGATTCTTTCCACCACAGGATCCCCAGGAACCACCAGAAAATAACCCCAAACACCTAAGATAGCACAATGGGTAGAGGCCAGCATAAAAGCTCAAGCAACAAAAGACAGAGCAATATGGCATCTCCAGAACCCAGTTACCCAGGGGCAAGTAGCCCTGGACACCCCAGCATAACTGAAATCCAAGAAGATGACCTAACAACTATGCTCATGAATATGATAGCAGAGGAAACAAATAAGATACGTAAAGACAGAGAGGAAGATAAACTCAAACAGAATATTGCCATCTGTAAAGAAATAGAGGAAGCTGCAGCCAAACAGTTTATGGCCTTTAGAAAGGAAATGCTTAAAGCACTGAATGAAATAAAAGAAACAGAGTTGAAGGAACTAAAAGAAAAACAGGAAAGTACAATCAGACAGGTGAAGGAAGTAAACAAAACAACTCAAGAACTGAAGATAGAATTGGAAAAATTAAAGAAAACACTAATGGAGGAAATAATGGAGAGGAAGAATCTAGGGAAGAAAACAGGAACTACAGAGGTAAGCATAACCAACAGACTACAAGAGATGGAAGAAAGAATCTCAGGTGTAGGAGATACAATGGAAGAAATCGATGTATCTGTCAAAGAAAATGTTAAATCCAAAAAATTCCTGACACAGACCGTCCAAGAAATCCAAGACAATATGAAAAGACAAAACCTAAGAATAATAGGTATAGAGGAAAAAGAAGACTCCCTTCTCCAAGGCCCAGAAAATATTTTCAACAAAATCATTGAAGAAAATTTCCCCAAGTTAAAGGAGAGGCCAATAAGAATACATGAGGTCTACAGAACACCCAACAAATTTGACCAGAAAAGAAAATCCTCCTGCCACATAATAATCAAAACAGTAAGTATACAGAACAAAGAAAAAATACTAAAAGCTGCAAGGGAAAAAGGTCAAGTAACATATAATGGCAAACCCATTAGAATCACACCTGATGTTTCAACAGAGATTATGAAAGCCAGAAGGGCCTGGACGGATATCATGCAGACCCTAAGAGAACACAGATGTCAGCCCAGGCTACTATACCCTGCAAAACTCTCAGTCCTCATAGATGGAGAAAACAAGATATTCAATGACAAAAACAAATTTCAACAATACCTACACACAAATCCAGCATTCTAGAAGACACTGGAAGGGAAAATAGAACCCAAGAAAATTAGCTTCTGTCAAGAAAACACAGGAAATAATTAACCTTACTACAGCAAAACAAAAAGCAACCAAGCACACAACCTTATGAACACAGCCAACATCAAAATCAAAGGATCTAACAACCACCGGTCATTAATCTCTCTCAATATCAATGGACTCAACTCTCCAGTAAAAAGATACAGATTAACAGAATGGATATGTAAACAAAACCCAGCAATCTGTTGCATACAAGAAACACACCTAAGACACAAAGATAGACATTACCTGAGGGTAAAAGGTTGGAAGACGACTTTCCAAGCAAATGGACCCAAGAAACAAGCAGGAGTAGCCATTCTAATCTCTGATAAAATAGACTTTCAACCAAAATTAATAAAAAGAGATGGGGAAGGGCACTTCATACTCATCAAGGGAAAATTCCACCAGGAAGACATCACAATCCTGAACATCTATGCCCCAAATACAAGAGCACCCACATTTGTTAAAGAAACATTGATAAAATTTAAACCACATATAGATCCCACACATTAATAGTGGGAGACTTCAACACCCCACTCTCAACAAAGGACAGGTCAACAAAACAGAAATTAAACAAAGAAACAATATCTCTGACAGAGGTCATGAATCAAATGGAACTCAGACATTTACAGAACTTTACACCCAAAC